TTTTAGTAGAGGGCCCAAGTTTCGGAAAATCGTGTTGAGTCTGATGTACCGTTTAGTGTTGGTTTGTTTGGGAATCTTTTGGGGGTAGCTGCATCGCTCATTTAATCTTGGGACTGAAAAGCAGTTGCCTTCGGCTGTTCCTCCATTTGAAGCCGATCGTAAAGTCAAGAAGGGTGTTGCTCAAAATAGGTCTCTTCAAAAGGTTGGTGTCCTTTTTGGTTTCCCTTTGCCTACCAAAATGGGGTTTGAAGAACTAAGAGCTCTTCTTTTCACAGACCGGGCAGCTTTTTTCGTTTGCTTCCCCTCGCGTTCCAGCCAGAAGGCTCCAAGTTCCCGGTTCCGGGAGGAGTTTGGGCAGGTGGTGAGCAGAGGACCCAAGGAAGCGGCCCGGAAGTCCAGACCACACGGAGCTACCAGATGTACTACCCTTGCCATACTGTGGATGGACAAAATCCATTCGCATCACTTTGATACCATGGGAAACCATTATTTGCTGGTTTTTACAGGGGAATGATCATTCCAGGGTCTCTTAGGTGGTGCAGGATTTCGTCCATCCACAGTATAGCTACTAAAACGCCATATCTTCCTGCGCGCAGAATCGACAATGCAGGCAGCGATCGCCGGGCATGCGCTCGCGAGCCTCGCGCGGCCACAGGTGCCGGGAGCTTTTGGATCGCAAAGGGGGTTGCACTTCTGCAAACAATCCTGGAACCTTTAAAAGACGAGATTTTTTTCGAGGAAGCTCCTTTTGGGAACTCCCAAAAACTGGGTTCCAGGTTAACTTGCAGGGGAGGGCTTCGCTCTAACCCCGAACTTCGGATGACCATCGCCTTCCGGTTGCCAGCGGCAAGACGAACCCAAGACAGGCGGCCTTGCCCCTGGGGGGGGTCACTAGGCCGTGTTGGCATTGGGGGGGGGGGGGTTTTGGGAGGCTTTTTGCGGCCTTCCTCGCAGGTGCTTTAGGGGCCCCCAGGTGCTTTAGGGGCCCCACAAATTCTTTCCCATCGTCCCATGGCAGTTTTGAGCAAAAGTTGGCTCCAGAGCTCGGGTGTTTTCAGGTTGGAGCTCTAAGCCCTGATACATCCTGATTACAATTCCAGGCACGTCAAAATATCTCGATGAAAAGACTTTCTAGAATGTTATGTTATCTTCTTCCAGGTCCTTTTTTTCCCTGGAACTGCACTGGAGGTTTGGGAGTCTGATATTATGTTGTTGGAATAGTTTTGGTTGCTCTTTGAGCAAATTGAGCCAACAAGTTTTGGATCTACGGCGCAATAGTGCAACTTGGAAACCCGTTTCAAATGATCATGCTCGCCTACATGGGGGGGGAGTTCCGTATTTTGACACATGCCCAATGTACCTTGGCCAAAACACTCTTGTACTTCGGCTCAGTGCCAGTCATGGGCCTTACGGAATTCAGACATGAAGCTTGCTCGAACGAACCATGACAACATGGCTGTGGGTCACTGTACCATTTTGGGGTAGGTGCACCACCTATTTTAGACTATTTTAGCGGGGACTGGTATGTTCACTGGGGGTGCGGGGGTTTGACCCATTGCCACATGAAGCTTGCTCGATCGAATAACAACATGGCCCACGTGTTTCGAGCGAAATTTGGAGGCTCCCTGGCCAATTTGGAGGCTCCCTGGCTTCCTGGAGAATGCTGGAGGTCTCCTAATGAAGCCGTTCCTTCAAAACGGGGATACCCCGAATCAACCGGGGACGATGACGAACTCACCATGATTAAACGGGATACCCCGTATTGTCCATCCTGTAAAACCGGTTTCTGATTGTAGGAGGCACCAGTGGCTTCTTCATCCTGGGTTCCCCGCTAATGAACTTAGACACCCCGATTGAGATGGGTGTCTCTGGGTGGCACACAGATGGCTTCTGAGCCAATTAAGCATGCGGAAACAGTTCCATGGGTTTGATCATGTTCCCTATAATTCTGCGGCCAGCCAGCTATGTATTAAAACAGGGGACCCGCAAAATAGTTGATTGTTCTGTTTAAACCGACCTGAAAGGCATGCCCCCAGCACAAACACACCCACACACCCGAGCACTCCACATTCTGATTGACTGAACGGCATGCTGCAGGCTGACAGGGGCGAGGTGTGCCCACCCACTTCGCGGTCCGAAAGCCGAAAGCGGGCGGGTTGGACCTGGCCAACTTCCAATTTGGTTTATCATGCTCATTCCTTGGGCTCCGGATAGCCTATCTAGGTCCCCCAGTAGTGCCCTTTCATCCTTTTATGGGGGAGAGTTCCCCTACTAAAATAGACTACAGAAAAAAAAGGGTACCATTATTCTAACCTCTCTACTGGAGAACCTAGCTATAGTGAATGGTGATTTGTTGCAAGAGAGCACACCAATGGGATTTAGGATTCTCATTTAAATGTTGCAGATCCTCTATTGAGCATACAGTTTTGAACAGGCCTTCATGCATTTACGTTAACTTTTCGAATTCAATGTTGTTGCCTGCGTGTCGCCTTCTAAAAAGGTTGCGGACACTAATGACTCACTTTTCGGCTGTTATTACCCACGGTGTTAATTTGTGTTCCTTGTATTATGCATATGTTGCTTGGGTGAATCATTTGTTGAACGACTGTTCCAAAACACTGACCATCCAATTCGGTCACATGTCGGAAAACATGAACCTACGTGGATTGTGCGGGTTGGTGGATAGCTTCTCAAACGGGAGCTTCTCAAATTCTAGCTTTCGCTGGAGTGGAAGGCGCCCTTCAATGGATGACTTCCAATTTGGGATGGTCTCAACATAGATCCCTAAAAACGCTCACCTGGAGTAGAAGGAGTCTTGTATTCACCCTTCAGCGGATGACTTCCCCTAAAACAGGGTTGCTTCCTTTTGGTTGCCCTGTTAAAGCAACCTAAGGGGTACCAACTCCAATTCAAGGACGGGTCGAAAAACCCATGTGTGACGTCCGCCTCCGACTGGATCTGACATGAGGCAAGTTTGGTGACTTTGGCCAATCAACTCCCGGTGGATCCCAGGAATCCGTTTCGTCCTGGCAGGACACCCCGCTGGTTCCCTTTTGGTTTTTAGACGCAGGCAAGCCCTCAGTTACCTAGCATACGGGTCTGGGAAGCATCTGGTTGTGGGTGCCTATTTTGAAAACCCAGGATATTTCGCGGGTGCTGCTCAAAATGGTCCCCTCTTGCTGGTTCTCAGGGATTGCGAGAATGACCGGCACGAGCCGTTTTTTTTTTTTGGGGGGGGGGAAGGCTTGACAGCCGCACTGAGCCAAAGAAAATCTGGGAGAAAACTTACCACTCGGGGCCCTTGGGATTTTGAACGTACTTGGTAGCTTACAACCAAGCTAATATGTGAACTAACCTTTGTTGTGCCCATACAAGCTTACTTTATTATGGAGTATATGATTAGTAGAGCCTTCGTCCTGTGAGGGGTATGGCCTTGGTGAAAAAACTGTACCTGAGCAACATGGAAGCCGCAATTCTTCCGCTTGCCGCTGCCGTTTAGCCTGCTGGGGACTGTGGTGAGCGCGCGCTCGGCGCCCCCCCACGCGCCCCTGGTGTTTTCATCTGCACACTGTGGATACACAAACTGCACCAAAACATACCAAAACCATGGTTGAAACCATTGCTTGTTGGTATTTACAAGGGAATTCGGGCCCAAGGTGTCTCAGACATTCGCATGGGAGCATCACATTGAGGATCTGAAGTGAGAAAGCTGTTGCTACGTTGTTACATCACCCAACCCAACCCCCCCCCCCCGGAAACGTCTGGTTCAGAAGGGAATTATGCTATCTGAGTTCTTTGGGTTTGCAGTACAGGGCCTACGTATATAATTATTTGAATGCATATATCTAATATATAACCATCATAGTAAAACCAAACGCCAATAGGTTCAATTATGGGTGCTACTCACATGTTGCAGCGTGTGGACATGTGCAACAAGCTCAATTTACTCCTTGAAAGAGACATGAAATAATATGTGCAGGGTATCGGTTGTGGGTAGCCTGATTTCTCTCGTGTTTGTACGTTGGGTATCGGTTTTGGGTAGGGCTTATTGAACATTGTGTTGGAGTTATATTGGGTATTCACATTGTAAGTGGCTGGTCTTTGGTGTGACCAAATCGCCCCTTAGACATTTCGGAAACACATGGCTTTTCATTAAACTTACTAAAGGTTAGACCTTTTACTCAGGGGGGAAGATCAATCCAGATGAAGCTGAGTGTTAGGGAAGCAGACGAAGCAACACACCAAGCACAGCTCACAATCTCGCCGCTTGGGGCTGTGGACCCATGAGATGACAGGCGAGGCTTCTGTTCGCATGGCAATTTGACAGACTGGGTGCAATGGATATGCTCAGTTGTTCCGTGCCACCCTTTTTCTCTTTCATTTTTTTGTGGCTGCCCCCCCAAAAAAAGGTCTTCCCCAAAAAGGGTTCCCTTATTTTCCAGGGTCACTGAACAACTGAGTATGGATATGGATATGGATGGTCAGAGTAGGACACACAGTGAAGGCAATGCTTCATCTGATTGCTCTACTGGCTTGTTGCGTGAAACCTCAAGAGAAGGCTAGAAGATGTTCCCAGAAAGAAAGGGCGCACCCAGATTCATCCGAGGTTGAAACCTCGAACAAGTGGAATCATGTCAGGGTGGGCAGGCGGGGGGGTGGGTGGGCATTTTTTAATATGGGGTTGTCTTTGTGTGAAGGTACCCTTCTGGGGCAGTTTTGAAGGGAAACCCAAAGGACACCCAATGTTGTCGGGGTTTTCACACATAAGCGCACGCCCAGCTGGCCCTTTAGAGTACAATCCTTGGCCAAAGCGGACGTCCGGGTCCATCGAATCCCGAAAGCGGCGGCCAACAACAATCGGTGGTGTCCTTTTGCTTTCCATTTTGGCACACCCCCAAAAAAGTCCCCCAAGGAAAGACGCATTTTGCAGAAACCACCACGAGTAGCCCCAAACAAAGGCGGCCATTTCTGCCCCCACGAGCCGAGCCCTTCGCGAGGTCATGAAGCGCAAGGCGGAAGCTTTGACGCAGCGCCTAAGCCAAAGCGGCCGCACTTCCTGAGTTCCTTCGCTTTTTAATTTGTTTGGGCAGACCTGCTCTGGTCGGGTTGTATTTGTTATACATGTGAATGCTTTCAACTTTGACAATCAACAATGCTGATTGATAAAGTGCCATTTCAATGTCTGGCTTCATGTTACGAAGTGCTTTTTTGGAAGACCATGTTAACTTCTTGGCTCCCAGCCATCCTGTTCCTTATCTTTTTCTCCTTTATTTTCGTTTCCATTTAACCCACTAAAAGTTAAACTTTTAGCGGGGCATTTGAGGGCAGCCCAGAAGACCATGTCAATGGAAAATAGAAAGTTCCAGGACGTTTTTTGGCCAATCCACTCAGGAAGTGAGCGGGTAGAAGTCAACCCTTCTGTTTGTTGACCACTTTTCAGGTAGACTTAAGTGAGGGTTGTCCAAACAGATAGAAAAGGTCTGGCAGCTGCGGCCTTTGCCTGGTGGGCCATCGGGTCCCTTAGCTTTTTAGATCTGTTGAGTTGGTTTAGGTCATACGGATGATGGGAGTCCAGAATTAATCGTTTTGGATCTTGGGCTGTCCTGGTTAATTAGGAGGGAATCATGACTTTTTGGGAAAGCACCCCTATTCATCCACCTGGTTCATTCATCCGCGGTCGACGTGAACTTCCGCATTCTTTGTGGGGCGCCCCAATCTTTCTACCACCAAAGATCTGAGGAAACGGCGAGTTTGTGCGAGAGAACGACGGTTGAAGAGGCATCAAGCCCTATAGAGTCATAGCCAACAGACTAGGGACCTTGAAGGGGCCTTTACGGCGGCTGCTGGATACACAAGCCTGCAAGGCTCGGCTGATAGCCCAGACATCATGTTGCCGGGGCAGCGGGGCTTCACAACCTTTGGTATGGGCTGGCCAAAAACGTTGTTTTTTGCAGCCCTCTAAAAATGAACAGGAAATACAAAACACTGCCAAGAACAGTGAAAGGGAAGTGTGTTTTCCACAGGGTTCTAAAACCACTGCATTTGAAAGTAGTAGTGAGGACATGTCGCGAATATGTTCTTTCTCTTCTGGTAGGGGTGTTTTGGGTGCCCCACCTGAGTCACTTCGTCACATTGGTATTGAAGGAGTCTTCCCCATACCCATTAAAGGCAACTAGGATAAACTGGGCTAACACAAGAGGATGCAGCCCACTAAAAGTAAACAGAACCAGCAAAGCAACAAAGCATGCCAAGAACCGTGAAGCAATCCATCTGCAGATTCTACAATCATTCCCCTCCATTTGCTTCAGTCCCCTGGACAAAACGAGGAATATGTCCAGTGATAGATTCGTCTGGAAAACCAACCGGGAACTTTTTGAAGCAATATTCATTTCAGCCAATGGGTGTGTCTGTATTGACCGGACCCCCCCAAAATGGCTTTGGTGTTCCTTTTTGGTTTCTCTTTAAACACCCAAAAGAAGTACCAACTCCAGAAAGAGACAGACCCAAAATACAAGTCCCAAAGCCTGAAATCAGAGTTCCATTTGCTTCGGTCAGCTCACCAGCTGCTCAAGACGCGAGTAATCCACACCTTGGTATCAAAGGGCCTACCCAATTGCATGAACTGCAAAGGAAAGGTACCTGGAGTCTCCATGACCCGTTTAAAAATGGGTCCATGACCCCAGTAGTTTGGCTTATGACCAACCATGTTTGAAGGGTCAGAAGGAGACTCCAGGTAGACTTACACCCTGCCCGCAGGGAGGCCGCTTCCTTGACCGGTTGATTGTGGCTCGGTTTCCCAGCGAAATGTCTCTCTCACTTTCACGCACGAAAATGGAGCATCATGGGCCAAAGTACCTGGATAGAACCTACGTGCTAGGAAGTGTCCACGCTTATTAGACGGGCAAACTTTTTACCACAGCTGCTTGGCCGCCGTGTTGCTTATATTGGAGGGGTATAACCCTTTTCAAGTCCGAACTGATGTGGCCAAGTATTTATTATTCGCGCGCAGGTGCTAAATGGCACATAGCCAACAAAAATATCGGCGTGGTCCCTAGGCTTCAACTTTCGAAGCCTTCAATGCATTGGCAACCTGTTGGTAAGCCACCATTGTCCTGATCCATATGGATATGGATGAGTCACAATTAAGCCTGCCAGGGTTCCATTTTGGGGTTACCCTATTATTGACCCACAGCCATGAATTAAGCCAACAGGGGAACACAGGTTTTAGTCTATGCTTCCGTTTGCCAGGGTTCCATTTTGGGGTTACCCTATTATTGACCCACAGCCATATCTCAGGCCCCAAAAGATTGGTAGCTTGGTTGTTTGGATCTGGATTTACCCGAGTGGAGGGTAAATGGGACACCACCCCTAACCCCCTACCATCTACCCCACCACCAATCCAAAGCTAGAAGGAACTTAACTTTTCTCATGTGGGTCTGCTTTTTGTTAGAAGGGAGCCCACTTTTGGCGAGTGTTTTAAAGGGAAGCCAACAGGAAAACCGTCGTTAACGCCGGTCCCCCCAAAAAAACACAAACCTGGAAGGTCCACATAAACAAACCTAGTGGAACGCTGGTTTTGTAGGTAACCAAGGCCGGGAACCACCCGATATAAAACCATCAATCTCTAGAAAACGTTTTGGATGTGTCTTTTGTGGCTCCAGTCCTGTAGGATATGAAAAGAGTACTTGCAGATTACTAAACAAAGGACCAAGGGGGAAGAACAGGTGAAATCCACAAAAGGCGCTTCCATTTGCGAAAAAGGATGTGTGTCAGTTCCGCTGGTGGCTTTAAAGGGGATCTATCATTACTGGACATATTGTTATTCGGGTATGGGTCAAAATGAAGTCACCAGGGGACTGCAGGTTTTAGTCCTTCTTTCCATTTACCAGGCTTCCATTTTGGGTGCCTATGTTTTTTGACCCACAGCCATGTTTTGCAGGGGGCGAAAAAGCAAGTGGAAGCTTGACTGCTATTGGGTTGGATCTTTAGACTTTAACTTTTTGGGAAATCAAGGAGTTGTCCATAAAACCCACAAAAAATCAAGCTTTTTGCAGAGGGGTCGTTGCAGAAACCAGGGAATTTGCGAAAGAGCCTTTGTGTGTGGCATTCCCCTGTCAAAAGGGATCTATCATTTCTGGGCATATTGTTTTTTTCTGTAGGGGGGCAAGCAAGCAAAGGGAAGTATACCCGTCATCCGAGGTCTGCGGCTGAGCTCTTTGGTCTTTCAGGCCGAAAGCTTCTGCTGGGCGAAGGCGCCTCGCGCCCCGCGCCCCGCGCCGCTGAGAAAAAAATGCGGCGGACGGGTGGAACAAGTCTGTGTGTGTGTGTGTTTGATTGTGTGTGTGTGCCTGTTTTTGTTTTTTTGTTTTGTGGGGGGGGGGGGTCACCATTTGGAGTTTTTTTTTTGTGCCACTTTGAAAGCACCGCAAAAAGCAAAACAAAAAACATTTGCAGGGTTCCCCAAGAAATGAAGCGCGGTCTCCTTTTGTTTGTTTTCCCTTTAATCAACCAAAAAGGGTACCCTCACAAAAGACACACCCATACGGCTACCTGGAATCTCCTTCTGACCCGATATGAACATGGGGTCATTACCCTTATATGAAAGGCTTTCATGGTCAGAAGGAAACTCCAAGTATGGCTATGTTGTAGCATGGACACCCCAAAGTGTGTGGACATATCTCCGCACCAAAAGTCATGTCCACCAAAGGGTCTCTGATGAAATTGTTCCGCCCGGGGCTCGGTACAATTTCGCGTCTATGATCCATTCTCGGGGCATGGGTTCCGGGCCCCTAAGCTTCGTGTCTTGTTGGGGAAGCCTTCAAGAAATACAGTGGATGGTTGCGAGATCCGAAACCGCACCACGAAATGAAGCCATGGTTGAAACACCATTTGTTTTTTGGTATTTGCAGAGGGAATCACCAGGTGCAGGATTCTGTCCATCCAGGGTACTGATTGTGACCCTTTGCAGGTTGGGTTTTAAACGAAGCCAAAGGAACATTCCCATGTTGCTGGGAACCATATTTGACACCCTTCCATGTGAGTCTGAAAGACGAACCTTGGACCCTGCCCCCAAAAGTCACAGCGTGGAAGATCATGGTCGTTGCATCAAACACTCTATGTCCACCGCAAAGGTGGGGGGGGGGCAGGGTGCAAATGAAGCCTGTCATGTCCAGGTCCTGGCAAGCAAGTAGTGCATCACCTCCATTGGAATTGGGCGGGCTGACTGGAACTTCATTTCTTGCTGGCCCCAGCCATCCGGTCCCTTAGCTATTTTTTTAGCTTAAGAATTAGTGGTTGAGTTTCCATGTAACCCACTCAAATCAAATCAAGTTCAACAGGGGATCGGACAAGGGACAGCTCAGTTTTCTATTTCCCTTGGCTTTGACTGGAAGAAGCGCTTTTGGAGCCTTGGGAATGGCTCCTTGCCGCGTTGGATGGCTGGGGCAATTGCTCCGATGCCAACTTCAAGGATGAGGCTCACAGCTTTGGCACCTCAAGGGGCCTTGGGGTCCCCAGAAAGGCACGGGACTGGGTCGCCCTTGGCCTAGTCTGTTTCTTCTTATTTTTTCTTGAAGTCCTGCAAAAAAAGCGGGAACAAAAACCGCGCCGTCTCAGGATGGTCTACTCAGTGGTTCAGTGGCACCAATTATTTTCCTTTTTCCTTTTTTTTGGGGGCCCAACTAAAAATGGTCTTCCCCAAAAAGGGGTTCCCTTTCTTTTCCAGGGTCACTGAACAACTGAGTTTAGGATTGCAGCAGCCACTCCCGGAAATGCCAACCGAGCGCGCGCGCGAGGCAACTTTTCCTTCAGCTGGGCTCTGTGCCAGCTAACCACCGGCGCCGAGCTGTCCCTCGGCGAGGAAAAACCCCGGGGTACTGCCCAGCACCGCGAAACCCCAACTGCTTATTCCCATGTCCAAAATCTCAAGTGTCCAAGAAGCAGTTTTTTTGGGGGTGCTGGAAGGAAACACTTGAACCCCAGCTGCTTTTTCCGTGGGTGTGGCTCAAAATTAAACAGGAGGGGCCAACCGCAGGTTTTGGTCCATGTTTCCACTTACCAGGGTTGATTTTGGTACCGGTCTTTTGAGCCACAGCCATGTTGCGACGGGCACAACATGGGAGTTGATCAAAAGGTCCGAAATACATGGGACCAATGCTTGGAAAAGCAGGATTTCAATCGCATGGAAAAAGTTGCTTGTGGTGATTTGGGGGCCAGGAATATTGGTCAAGCCCCACATGATTACTAGTGTCCAACCCCTCTGTCAATGACCCAAAAGTGGTTTGTCCCCAAAAGGGGTACCCTCAACAACTCAACAAACAGGAATCAGGTTCTAAAGTACCCCAGAACCCCGCCCCCCCCCCCCCTTCATCTCAGGAGGCGAGGAATGGGGTTGTGGGGGGGTCGCGGCTTTTGCCCCTTTTAACAGCTCACACTTCGCCGTTTTTGAACCTTGGTTGCCATGTGACCGATGTGACCGAGTTCCCAAGATGCTTTCTTGAAGCGTGGGTTTAAGTATCACCTGTTTTGCCCATGAGTTCCCCCGACAATGGTTTCAGGTTAGAAATATCGGTTGAACTCTTCGAAGTGTCATTCAATTGGGCATGGCAACCTCTTGACAGAAAGCTTCTCATTTTCCACGGCTTGACACCAACTCCAGCTTATGGGGCATTGCCAATGCCGAGAATTGCTGGTTCCCAGCCAGCCCCCTAGCTTTTTGTTGACCTCTTAGTGTTTAGTCCTTGGATTTCTGTATACCCACTAAAAGTTGTTGCCATCCCCGTAGCATGTTTCGGCCTCTTAGTGTTTAGTCGTTGGAAATGTCCATTTAAAAGCCAATTCAAACAGCTCTCACTGTTCGCAGATCCGAAAACCAGCCGTTTGAAACGGCACCGAGGACCAGCTCCTGCTTCGAGTCTTGTGAACAGCACCGGCAGCGCTTCCAGGCTGACCTCGCGCTCCAATGGTCCGAAGGGTCCGACGGCCATTTGGTTTGGTGTCACAACTAGGTTTGCCAGTAGTGCCCTTTTGCCGCTTCTTGTTCGGTTGGGAGGGTTCCCCTACTAAAATAGACTACAGAAAAAGTTGGTTCCAACTTATTCTAACCTCAAATCTGGAGGACCTAGCAACTCTTGGGACACTTCGGCCCACCAACAAAAACTCAATGGACATGTCGGCCCAACAAAAAAACACAGGGACTGCAAAAGTTCAAAGGGTAGCTTCCATTTCCATTCTGAACGCAGGGATCCTAATCTTTTGAGAAAACCATGAGAACCGCCAGGGAAACGGATCCGGTTTTTCAAAAGAACGATGGTTGAAAAGATGGGGGCAACCCCTAGAACAACGGGGACCTTTGTTCCACCCTAAAGTTGGTCTTAAGGTGTTTTGAAACACCTTCCAAACGTGAAGTGTGACTCCCAAACATGGCGCTTTTTGCATACGCCCCGAAAAAAAATAAAGGACAACCTTATTCGACGAGATGAGCAATGGACTAGTATCAGGGTATCGGATAGTTGGTACGCCCCTATCTTTCTCTTCTTTTTGTTCTTCCGCGAATTGTTTGGTATATCCCTTGGCTTCGGGCTATCATTCTCAGTTTCCCATATGTGTACCGTGCCCAGTGAGTCGAAGCGTTTGCGTTTTGAGCTATCACCCGCTGAAAATGGACATGGAATACGTTTTCCTGCCGAGCATAGGTTTCCACTAATTACGCCCAACTCAAGCAAGAATAAATGGGGTGCTTCAACCCTGAAACCAATGCACCGAAAAGTCTGGAACACTGGAGTGTCCTTTGGTTTTCCGAGTATCCAAAAGCCACTTAGCCGTGATAAGATCTGCAGAGAACCCCTGTCTAAGGCTGGAAGTACATACACCTTGTTCATACCCGTTGGCTTCCGTGGTTTCCACCCACTTTATAAGGGGTAATTTTCTCTTTTGGGGAGAGGATATGGTATGAACATCAGCAGGCCTTTTGGGGGTCACTTGTCCCAGGGGTATGTAAAACAGGGGTAGGTACCTCACCCCTGGACCCTGTCTCAACGGGGTCCCCCGGGTTGCGGCCTTCGGACTCACTCAACTTGCCAGGCCAGCGAGGCAAGAGAGCAACAGCTGCGCGGAAGAGGCGCGGGAGGAGCGGGAGGAGCAGCAGAGGTTGTTCATGTCCATTGACTTCTGGGTGAAATATAACGACCTCACACGACCGAATTCACCCCAAATGGTGGTTTTTGTGGGGAATAGCCCCCAAACCACCTTATTTCAGACTGGTGAAATATGATAATTCACCCAGATTAACCTCCATTTGCTGAAATGTTGTTTTTTGTTTTAAATCTTCTTTGCCCCTGTTGGTTTTGCAGGAAATCTATGACTACTGAACATTTTTGTTTTGTCCAGGGGTCTCAACCAAATGGAAGTTACTTAATGTCAACCCGGGATTGATAACCCCCCTATTTATGAATATACCGCATACCTGGATCTTCCTGCATGCTCAAAAATGATGCCTTTTAGCTACGAAATGCTTTTTGGGGCAACAGCACGATTTTGTGTTGCCTGCTCTTTTTTTTTTTTGGCAATTTGCGTGTTAGGCGCAATCTTGCCGAACCTACAGGCCAAAATCCCCGACCAACAGGCGACAATTCCCAACCGCGGCGCGAGCACATATGCCTGCCATATGACCAACACCGGTTAAAAAAAGTCGTGCGACATGGGTTTGGACAATGTTTCAGAATACCAACTAAAAGGTGATCACTGTTGGGGGCCTTGACTGGACCAAAAAAAAGGCCACAAAAGGTCAGGTCTTTTCTCCAGGGATGCAGGCTTCAACAAAAAGAAGAAGGTAAGATCTTTGGTGGTATTTGCAGGGGAAGCATCACCCCAGGGATTTTTAGGCGGTGCGAAATGGATTTCGCAACCTTTCACAGTATCTTTATATCTTTATATCTACATTACTTTGGTGCATTTTGCCAAGGGATGTTAGGACTGAAGAACTTTTGGCCAACGAATTTGGGTTTTCCGAATTAAACCACTAAAAGTTGAAAACGTTTAGCAGGGGAGCAGAAAGCAACCGAGAAATAGTATACACCATAAGATAAAAAGGTGCTTTTTCTTTTCGTTCTCCTATAAAAAAGAAAAACGCACAAAAGGGGTCCGGCAAAAAAGACACACCCATGTCTTCTCCTCGGCAAAGCAGATGCACGGACACAACGGGCAAGGTCTCTATAGCTTCATTTGTCACGGAATCTGTCTGCAAGCCACTGACTGCTCTCACATCGCTCAATCAACTTATGAATGGATGTCTGAATTCCCTACCAAATAAAACCTCAACTTCTGGATCTCTGAATTCTCTACCAAATAAAACCAGTGTTTATGACTCTCGCGCCTTTGGAGCCTTACGTTATCTTCCGAAGCGCTCAGACCGGGGACCGGAAAGGCAGAAGATTCCATGCGGCACGACAAAAGCCGGGGCTGAACGATAAGCATGAAGTCTATCCCACACCATGTAGGTAGTATATACCAACATTTGACCGTTTTAGGGGGTAAATGTAAGTAAATATTTATACATGGAGTGTTTGGGGATGATCATGACTGGTGTGTTTTCCCTACATGGAAACCAGTGCCTGCAAGCTAACATGGTGCGTACTATTACTGCAAAGCCACAAAATTGCCAACATAGAAATTAGATGTTCGAAGTGCAACTGCACTTTGGGCCCAGCTGGCAACCTTTAAGCTTGTTCTTGGTGTATTTATTTAATTCGTTTCAGGCTCAAGAAGATTAAACTTTGCTTGCCACTGGAGTCAGTGAACCCATACATTCGGGTGTGGGTGAGTGGTGAAAGGGCGTCAACTGGAAAACCCCGCTGCCAACACTATCCCTTTTGGTGGTGTTCAAGCTCACCTTTCGGGCCATAGGTGTCCGGTTTGGTCGAAAATCAAAGTCCAATTCCTGGTTGACCCTCTTGTTTCGTCTACCAGGAACATATATTTTCGACGAAGGACTGGTATGTTGTTTTGTTGGTCCTGGGCACCACAGTGTTCCTTTGGGGGGCATGGGTTCCAAGGGTTTTCCTACTACACCTTGGGATTATGCCCTCTGGCGAATCACCTACGGTTTATTGGGGATAAATTTGAGTAATTTCCCTAAGGTGTCATCTGAGGGTGTACTAGGAAGTTCTTGGGATGGGTGATGCTTCAGGTGGGAAGATGTAGGGAGCCCGGCTAGGGGTCCGCGTACTGCACGGCGTCGATGCGACGGACCTCAAGACACTGCCATCAGCAGCCCAGCAAAAGATTCGGTGGGCCCATTGAAGCAAACAGCTTGGGTGTGTTTACTTTTAGGAGTTGGACTCCCCAAAGCTTTTCGGTGTTCCTGGTTTGCCTTGGGCGTGTCTTTTTAGGAGTCGGACTCCCCTCAAGTGGCGGTTGGCCTCGCTTTTTCTCTTAACAACTGAAACGGGGTGCCCTCAAAGAAAAACACATTCGCTTCTTGGGGAGGTCTCTTTGCAGTGAACTTGTGTGTTTTTAGTTGATTGCTTGTTTGGTCCTCTTCAGTTTTGTGAGAGGGGAGGGGTGGAGGGCGCGCTTTGCAAAGCTAGCTTGCCAGAAGTCCGCCTTTGGTTGCTCCGATTGAACTCAATCATTTCCGGGAATTGGAACGCTTCCCCACCCATGAGGTCCATCTTTTCTTGGACTTGAGTTTGGGAGTTATAGCCGTATCCCGCCGAATCCCACTAAAAGTTTGGCTGAACAAGGAGCCACTAAGAAAACTTGGCTCCCAGCCATCCGGTTCCTTAGCTTTTTAGATCCTGTTAGTGTTTAGTGGTAGTTTCCATTGCAACCCACTAAAAGTGAGTCACTTTTTGCTGGGGATCTGAAAACGGGCAGCCACTGAGAAACGTTGGGGCTGATTCTCTCGCGTTGGAGGGTGCCCTCGCAACCGGAGCATTTGGAGGGATGACTATCGACTTCCTAAAATGGTTTTTAAACAGATCCTGAGGACACTCCAGAATGTCGCCCTTTTTTTTTCGGAGTCCGCGACAAAAATCGGGGGAGAGGTTTTTAGCAAGCAAACCACGAACCACGCCTGTGGTTTCTTGCTGTACATGTCTTCTCATACAGATATATATATATATATACCTGGACCTTCCAGCAGCACCTTGTGTGTGCTCTTTCGCGAAAAGGTAGAAATGTGTGGTGTTTTGTCGAAAAAGCGCTGCTTCATGCCAAAATTCCCCCTTGCTTTTTGTGGGGAAAACCTGGTCAGGGAAAGTCGCCCATTCACACACAGGTTTGGCTCAAATATCAATAAAATGCAAAAGGTGCTCCGAGGCACAGAAATATGCCGCTTGTCCCAAAAACCAGTTTTTGTCAAAACAAATGCAGAACAAGGGAACACCTCTGATGGTTTATGTGTATATATATATTATACATAATATACATATATATATATATATATACACACATGTGTATATATATATATATGTATATACATGTATACATATATATATATGCATACACATGTACGCATGTTGCAAGGGATGAACGAACCATAGATAAGCGGATCCTTCGCGGATGGGGTCTTTTTCTCCAAGCGTCATGCCCCTACGACCTGAGGATGTGATTACGCCCTTCGACCGCATCATCTTTCAATTTCCCCAGCACCCGGAGAGGAACAAGGCCGATTGGGGTCGAGTTCCGCCATCGAGTTTCTTTGACCAGCGATAGATTCATAGATACAAACACGGATACATGCATATACATATATATATATATGTTGTTTGACATGCACGGATCGTTAGTTTATTTATGAACATCTACTCATAATTTGATGCATAATGAATGAATGGTTGTGAGAGAAGCTGACAACTTTTTGACAATGCGTGTCGTGCCATTCCACCCCCATGGCCCCATGTTCCGATATGTCCAGGGGAAATCAGTAGTTGTTCTAGGAAACCATCAAAAACCCAGGGAAACTGCTGGTTTTTGAAAAGAACGATGGTTGAAAACATTAATGGTTGGAATCAACCCCTGGAGTTATGTCAGGATTTGTCTGTGCGGCCCATGTGTTTTGTCAACGGCGCCCCACAGTGCCTGGCTCCTGCCGATCTTTCCTGTAACAAAAAGCGAGAAAGGGGATTGTCACAAGGAGACATACAAAAAAAACGTATCCTCCAAGGATTTTCCTATTACACCCTGGGACTACACCCTGGGAATCAACCTGTTTCGGCCTATTTCCAGATAAAACCTGGTTGTGCCCCTAGGGTGCGTGTGATATGCATTGCGGGAGAAATCGCAAGCCCGTCACCAACTACCAGGCATACGAGTCCCCGCTTTGGATGAGCAACATCAAGCATCAAGTGCAGGTCTAAAGACAAGCATTCACAGCGGCGGGTTGAACCCATCGACACCGGGCACAATCAGCGGTTTCAGCGATAGCAGTTGTAGCTACGCAGTCGCAGGTTGGCTGTCCTTTAATCCCTGGAATGGTAGACTTGGACCCTGGAAGTCTGACATTTCGGCCCACGAACAAAAACAACGCGGACTGCAAAAGTTGTGTTCCCTGGTAATGAAATGGGAATGGTTTGGCGAGGGCTGAAAGGAAATCTGCAATCCTGGGCTTGTGAGTTTCTGCCAATCCGGACCCTCCAAATTCCCCTGAAAAATTGGGCATTGCCCCACAATGACGGGGGTGATTTGCCATTTTTAAGGGCAGGTTGAGTTTCAGCCCAGTTTCTGTTTGGAGCAATTCTGCAACCCACGTGGGTATGGGTCAAAATTAAACCACCAGGGAACCACAGGTTTTGGTCCGTGTTTCCACTTACCAGGGCAACCCATTTTGGGTACATATTTTTGACCCACAGCCACGTGATCGGTTGCCTCGGTTGCAACCCATCAGATCCATTTGAACCGCGAGCTCTTGGCCGCCTTCTTGAAGCAGAGCGAGGCCCTGCTCGCTGAGAAGGGCGAGGCGCGGGCTGGCGCGGGTGAAGGGCGTGGAGGTGGAGGTGGTGCTCCATTGGCTGAAGAATATGGTTTATTTCCCCTGTTGGTTTTAAAGGGACTCTATCACTACTGGAAGTATTTTTTTCCAGGGTCTTAACCAAATGGAAGTTGTAGGTTTTGCGGACTCCGGGGCAAAGAGGATTGCACCCTCCTTTTTAGCTTGTTGCCTTTGCGGATCCTGAATTCTGGTTCTTGCATTAGAGTAACTCATCTGAAGTTCCAAATTCAGTTTTTGTTTTTGGGAGGCGTCATGTTGGCGGCAAGCAAATGGTGCGGACCTTGTTCCCTGACTCTTCCACACAGGAAGTGAGTACACCCATTCAAAACTAGGTCCCCCAGTAGTGCCCTTCTCTCCCCTTTTTTTTGGGAGGGTTCCCCTAGCAAAATAGACTAGAGAAAAAGATGTACCCTTATTCTAACCTCTCTACTAGAGGACCTAGAAAAGCATCCATACACGTGATGCCCAGTTAGCATTGTTGCACCCGTCAAGAGTCGATCGCCATGTTACACTCCCCACCAGCGATTCGACCGAATCGGACCCTATGAATCACAGTTCCAAAGAGTGATGTCATTTCTTTCGGCGCATGCGCGGACATGATGATTTGGAGTAGCACAGCTGCCAGTTCGTAGTTTGAGGAGGTCACATTGCACGCAAGTGGTTTCGGGAGCCTTGCTTTCGCCCTTGGATTTGAGCTGTTTTCCTTGTTTTGTGTGGAGGTCTAGGAAAATGAAGAACAATACCATAGTTTCCTTTTGCCAGTGAGAAGTCGGTTTCACTTGCAAACTGGACCCACTGTTGGACGTTGAAAGGAGCAAGCAACACAAATGGAACTAACCAGTTGTGGGAGGACGCGCGAGCAGGTTTCCACGAACGCAGGGTTGAAGGGGTTTCCACGTTGAAACCACGGTTGGAATCATCATTCCAGGGTTTCTGACGTGCTCCAAAAGGAACCCTGCAACAATGGGATCAGAAAGTGGTTGGTGTTGGGAAACATTTTACATTTTTGCTCCAACCATCCCCTTGAACAGGTCCCTCAATGGCCCAACGCAAGTCTTCACCTCGCTCCCTGAAGTTTCTTGCCTATTTAGGGTGACACAATGTGAGTGGCAAAGGTAGCCGATCCAAGCTGACATGTGGGTGTGTCTTTTTCACCCCCCCCCCCCCCCCAAGATAAGCTCAGGTGATGATATCCCCAACAGCATGCGGGGCTCTTTTTAGTGCTCGCCCCACCCCGCAGTACTTGCAGAACCCTCGTGGAACCCTGGTGGAACCCTCGTGGAACCTTACCTCCGGGCCGCCCCGGACCACAGCTTTCAGCTGGTGGCGAAGAAAAGTAAAGCATAAAGTACCATAAACATATGCTTTTCCAGTTCGCTCCCCTTTGAAAGCGCAACAAACAGTGTGGAGCGGTAAGTCCTTTGCGTTGACCCATCCACTCAAGCGAGTAGCAGCCATCTAAGTTGGCCTTGGTACTGGTTTCTTGCATAGGCTGAAACAGCATGTGGTCAATGTTGCCGCAAGTCGTCACGCGATTGAAGTTCGTGGGCCGTGGGTTAGCCGTGTTTTCAGGCTTCCCTGAAAATAAGCAACCCGCCACGGTGCCAACAAGGAAAACACCCCCATGTCCAATTTGGTTCACGAGTGTTGCACCTTGTTGTTTTATTTGTACTCGTTTTGAGGGGGGTTTGCCAGTTTCATCTTGGTTTTGGTCCCAGGTGATTGCTGATTAGTTTCCTCGTTTGTTTTGAAAGGGAAGGGCATGTACCATATCATTCAAGATGGAGGTGTGTAATTATTGTTTTGAATTCAGGGAGCTCTGCAGTCCGGTTCGAGCAAGGTTCCGGGGTTCCGGGGTGGAGGTTCGAGCAGGTGGGGGAGGTTACAGGGCGGGAGGTTCCTGGGTGCTCTGGCGCAGATCCGGGGTGCTCGCGAGGGTTCCGCGATGGTTCCGCTTGCGTGCGGCAAGATTTAGCAGGGTTCCGCTTCCGAGTGCCCCGACGCAAGAAATGGTTCCGAGGAGGGCCGCAAGCCTGCAGGGCCTGCGCCTGAGCTTATTGGTATTGGTGTCACGGGTGTATTGTAACCATTCCTCCATTTGTTTTTACTCTCGTGGTCATGGGAGTGAACCCTCTCTGCTCGGAGGGTTTTCCCCCCAGTCTCCCTTTCCCTCCCCAAATTGGCTCCTTCTTTCGCAATCGATCTCCTCCCTTCATTGCGCGGCAGGTGGTGGTGTCCTTGCTGCGAGGTCAGGGCGGCACACCCTTTGAGCTCGAGGAGCGGCCGGGATGCCCGGCTGGCTCAGTTGTTCAAGGCGAATCGACCTTTCAACCGGTTTGGTTGGTTGGTTGCTTGGGCGGTTGGTTGGTTGGTTGGTTGGTTGGTTGGTTGGTTGGTTGGTTGGTTGGTTGGTTGGTTGGTTGGTTGGTTGGTTGGTTGGTTGGTTGGTTGGTTGGTTGGTTGGTTGGGCGGTTGGTTGGTTGGTTGGTTGGGCGGTTGGTTGGGCGGTTGGTTGGGCGGTCGGTTGATTGGTTACTTGGTGTTTTCTCGTTTCGCGCGCCTCGGGGTCATGGACAAAACCATCGCAGCCACGTCCTGGAGGCCGATTTGGGTAGATGAAGGGAAAGGGAGAATCCCAACCACAAATGGGTGAAGATATCCGCCTTGTTGGTTATTTACATGGCTCCTGGTAGACCATTTTAACCCCGATGGGTTTTGATTGTGACTCACTTGGGAGTGGAGTTCGGGGAGTCTGGATTGTTAGCGGACTTGTGTACGGTTTTGAGCGGCTTTTGGTTTGCAAAAGGCAAGCTCCGTCCTCCCTCCTCGGGCCATTCAAGTGCGGGATTGGCCTCCGATCCACGGATCTTTCTTAAGGTGATCTCAACTGGGTCTAGGGTTCACCCCAAAGGGGAGGATAATTTCTGTGGATGGACCAAATCCACTTCGCACCAGTTGGTCGCTGGTTCATTAAGTATTCATGGGCTTTCACACATCCCAACGCTGCTTTTTGTGTATTTCGCTGTTCCAGACACCCATTCACCCCAAAACAAACTGAGCGGAAAGCGTCAGAAGTCCCAGTCATTCGATCGCAATCGAGGCGACCGAAGGACACCTGGCAAGTGCAGGAGCTGGCGATGGAGGCAATCGATTCCTCGGTTTGGAGCAAGTGTTGGTGGTTCCTTTTTTGGCGGAGATACCCTTAGATGACGCGCTGGTTCAAAGGGAAGAGGAAAAACTGATTTGCCATCGACGTTTTCCTCTAGAATTTTACAGGCTGGTTTCGCCCTTGTAGGTAACCCTTCGCAATTTGCCTTTGGGTCTTTAGCGGCTGGCAAGCCCTTGGTTGCCTGCTACACAGGAAATAGACTGGAATATTTCAGAGGGGTAGCGTCTAAGTTCCATTCAAAAACGGTCATGAGTAGGTAACCAAGGGAATCAACACCAAAGGGGAAGTAGCTGGTTACCTACTATAAGGGGGAAATGGGATATACTGGGATGAGTTGGGCTTCATTTGTTCGCACGCCCCAGCCGCCAAAGTTTGCGGACACCCAAACTCAAATGCCCGACGTTTTGGAGGTCCTTTTTTTCCGAAATAGGAAGTCCCCTAAGAAATAGGTTGGAGTCTCCATGACCAATTGAAAATGGGATCATTAGCCAAAATACTGGGGGCTTGGACCCATTTTGAAGGGTCAAGGAGACTCCAGGTAGGTTGGGTTCCTTTTGGTCTCCCTTTAATTCCCAATCAAAAGGGAGGTCCATGTTGTATCGCGGGCATCCATGGCTGTGACTTTTTTCGCCCCGGAGATCCTTTGCATTTACATACTGTTCCATTATACTTGCAAATCAGCTTGCAAATCGATCTTTTGCTCGTTCGGAGGCGGAGGGAGCAACTGATCGTTTAGTCAGGCGTTCAATTCATTGGTCAAGAAAGGGGTCTATTGTATGTACATCGTTTGGTTCCTTGGTTTTTTCGTTGCAAGCCCACTTCATAGGAATGTAACTTTTGGGGGAGGAACCCACTATATATGGATGGTTCATTGCTTGGTAAAAGGGGGGTTTGTTCCAAGGGGTACCCTGGAAAGGTTCCAGGGGGATACAACCTGGGCGTTCGACCAACTGCCTCCAAAGCGTGCGCGTTTCGAGGCCCTGAGCGAAATTTCCAGGCGGATCTGTGCGGTAACTGGAATTTTGCATCATCGCACAGATCCTACTGGCTTCATCGATTTAGGGGACCTCTCAACGGCAACGACTGGCGTGAGACTTCTGAAAAACTAGTTCGGATGAAAATGTCCCTTGACTGCCAGGCGATAGGCATTTATGGCATGCCCCATTGAGTATCTCAACACGGCAGACCCCTTTGGTCGGTGAAACGGAAACCAAATAAAAACCGACCACTTTCTTTTATGGCTTTTTGGTAGCGGATCTTTGGACTTCAACTTTTGGGTGGAAAGTTTGCTCTTTTGTTTCCCGTATTGGACCCACAAAAAGTGAAGAACCAAGACCCCCCGCAAAGCAGAAGTCAAGCAAGGCCTTTAACGTCAGGCGCTACATGGCTGCTCCGCGCATTCACTGGGTCATGGACGCTTCAACTGAGCTGTCCCGGTCCCATTGCCAAATTGCAGAACTCCGAGGTGTTTCTTCGCCTCAATACTGTGGATGGGCGAAATCCATTTCGCACCACCTAAGAAACCACGGTTGGAACCATTGTTTGCTTGGTATTTACAAGGGAATCCTCAATCCAGGGCATGCCAGTGTGTTTTGTGACTAGGTCCCCCAGTAGTGCCCTTTCTCAGCCTTTTTGGTTGGGAGGGTTCCCCTACTAAAATAGACTACAGAAAATAGGGTACCCTTATTCTAATCTCTCTACTGGAGGACCTAGGCGCAGTTTGTCCATCCATTGTACGATACACCCTCCAATACCTCCCGCCTGTTTCGCCAGACGCGAAGAGTTTAAGCGTTGTTCACTGTGTGCTTGGAGTATGCCAGATTAGGTGAGGGGGGTTGAGGCTTCGTCCATCCAAAGTAGCAACCGCAACATTTCTCAGAAAATCAGGGGGCGGGCCCTAATTTTCCAATGTGCTCTTGGGGAAACATTGTTGCTGGTGCCCAGTGGGGAATGACCCAGGGTTTGGGAATGAACCTGGGGATTTCCTTAAAGGAAGCCATAGGAGATGGATAGAGGTGACCCCCTCGCTCAGAACCAGCAAGTTTTTGACCGTGGCTCCTTGGTCATGCGGCTGGATGGACCAAATCCTGCCCCACTTCGAACGGATGAACTCCAATTTAACTAGCAGTGTTGCAGCTTGGTTCCACTGCTTCACATGGGGTAGTAAATGTATTTACCAGGGCAGCCCATCGTTTTTCCCCAACTCTTGCCACCTCTGGCTTGCCATGTCTTTCCACTCGTCGTTGTTTTTTCTTCCCCCAAGTTTTGCAGCCTCTGGTTTGGTATGGGTTGCTTTTTTTTTTTTGCTTTGCTCAACCTCTTTCTTCGGGGCGCCTGTCGCTGCGAAAGCGAAGGCGGGCCTGCTGCTGGTGCGGGTGACCTCCTTTCCGGAGGCGGAGCTGTCGACCTTGGGCTACCAGCGCACCGGCCCGGGGCCCAGCCGGAGGGTTTTGACCACATGTGCGACCCACATGTGCATAATTATCTGTTTGTACATATATATATATACGTATATCTTGACATATGTATATATATATATATATCTAAAAATGCATACATATTTTCTGGGCCTGCGGCCTCTAGCCGGCTACGCCTCTTTGAAGTTATGCCATGTCATGTCATGTTTTTTGTATGAGAAACATATCCTGTGCTATGATATGGCTGGTTAGGTTATGCATGTTGCCCACCCCAACCCCAGATGATGCCGGGGCTGCCAGCTTTCTGGGCCCCAGCCGGGCCTCAACCCAGAAGGCTGACATGGGGTCGCGCGCGCGCGCCAGAGGCCCCAGAAACAGCAGCCCAAAAAGAACAGCCCGCAAGCCAGCCCGGAAACGCAAAAATGCAACAAAACGCCGCAAATAGCAGCGTTTTGTGGCTGGGGTTGCGCGCGCCAAAAGGCCTGAAAACCAACGGGAAAAAAGCAAGGACCGCGCAGCACGCGAGCCAGCCACAGCAAAAGCAAAACGGACAGAACAACAGCCCAACGCTCAGCACAGCAGTTTTTGGCGGTATTTACAGCGTTTTGTAGAGCAAGGACCCAGCATCGCCGGCATGCCCGGCAACGCTTGGCGCCAAAATGCGCAAAAATGAGCCTCGCTTATATCCCTCCGATACCTTCTAAAAAACAGTGCTTCATGGGTTGAGAGGGTTTTTGGAAGGAAGTCTTGATGATGCAGACCAAGCCCCGCTGAAGCATCACCCAGGCCCAACCCCAGACCCTGACGATGTCAGCCGCGTGGCCTAAACCCTGCGTATACGCGATGTTTTGCGAGGGTTTCCCACAGGCAAGCAAAACCGCAAGCCCGGGCTGGTGATGCAGAGGTCCCAGATTTGGGCAGCGCATCACGACCAAGTGGCAAGGGTCGGCGGCAGCAGGGTGCAGCCCCTATAGCTAAAGCTAGCAGGCTATGCCTAGCGGCGACATGCTGCCCCAGGAGGCGTAGCCGGATTTACACGCTGATGTGACACAGCCGGCCACCGGGCACCTGGCCCTTCCCGTTCTTTTTTCCTTTTCTTTAAATTCCTGTTAGTTCCCGGGATTTGAACTTCACTTCCGTTGCATGTCTTCCCTGCATGTCTGACAGTTTCCTTTCATTTCGCTTCACTTCCTTTCGCTTCATTTCCGTTTCAGCTCCCTTCATTTCCTTGAACGCCCATTCGTTCGCATTCCTTTCACTTAGTTCTTTTCAGTTCCCGTGAAATGGCAACAGCCCCAGCCCAACAGCAAAAAGCAACAACAGCCCAACAACCCAGTAGTGTAGGAACAACTTAACCCAATTACAAACATGAATCCCAGCAGCAGAAATAGAACCCAACAGTCAAACAACCCTGACAGCCTATGAAACGTTCTTGGCTTCATCAACGATTTCGTCCGAATCCAATTTTGATTGCTTCTGAAAACCAGCAAAGTTGCAACATGCCAAAACCTGTTGCGAACTCACGAAGTGAGCCTCTCTCAAACAACAGACCTGCCCCGTTTTGCCAGGTCCACCCAAACTTGCTTGGGTTCCCTGAAAGGGTTCCCTTTTGCACCACTGCTGAAGTCTTCGCCCAGTAAGTTGTCTTTAAGCGGGATTCACCCAACCTATTGGGTGACCACCCAGTCGGCTTGGCCTGGGTGCGCCCTGGGTGGGCGAACTGGGTGGGGCATGCGAGGCTTTCGAGGACAGGGCCTTCATGGCAGCACCAAGGAGGTCTACCAGGAGAGAGGTCCTGAGTTGCCATGGCACCCGGGCGATGCCATAGATGTATGGCTCAGTTGTTCAGTGGCACCAATTGTGTTTCCCTTTTTTTGGTGGCTGCCCCACTAAAAATTGGCTCCATTTTTTTTCAAAATAGGGCTTGATTTTGGTTGAAAAGTCCTAGACACCTGGGGTCTCAGTAGACGTCAGTCATGTTTGTTCAGGTGTAAGTTTGACTAAACATTCTAGGGGTTGATTTCCTTGGCCATTCTTTAACCAACCATCGTTCTTTTTAAAAACCGATCGCTGTTTTCCCCTGGGTTGCTGGAGGTTTTCTAGAAACATCCGGATCCCTCGAAAGAGCGGAACCTAGAATATAGGTTTGTCTCAAAATTAGGAGACCCCACATTGTCAGTTTCCTTTTGGATTTCACGTTTCGACGCGAAGGAGGCATAAGGTGGCTTCCCAACAAAAGACAATCCCGCCCTTGGATGTCCGGTTCCTTTGGGACTACTGAAGATGTCTCTCCTCATGACCAACAGAAGGATGCAACCCCGGATCTGAGCAGAACCAGTTAGTGGTCTGAAGCATCCCACAAGGGGACAGGGCTGGTCACGGCTTGGGTTGTTGTTTTTGTTGGCCCTCTTTGGGGGGGGCAACTGGACCCAAAAAACGGCAGCAGCGGTTTCCTTTTTTTCCCCTTGAACACCTGGAGAACGGGGAACGCTACAAAAAAAACGCCGCTGCCAAGTGTCCATCAAGCAGGGATCCAACTGTTGCTGCGACTGGAGGTGTTCGTGGTGAGCACAAGGGCTGTTTTGTGCTTTACAATCATGCTGAAAAGAAGCGAGTTCCCACACGGACCTCCAATTGTAGAACCTTCCTATTGGGTATGCCAAGACTGGGTGATTCTCAGCAAGCGGAATTTCCGAGTTGCGGTGTTCTTTTCGAGTTTTGTGTAATGTTGACCCCGGATTAATAAACCCCTGGTTGATTTTGATCGGGGGGTGTCCCCTTTTAGTGGGGATTCAGACCACTTTTGGAGGGAACACCCCCCCAAAAGGTGGGACGGGTTCTACTTAGATCCTGGGTCAACATTCACCCAAATCAACGGGTGTGTTCCTTGAGCCCCTGGCTGTCCGAGTACATGAAGCAATGTTAGTCATGAAATGTGCAGACCATCGTTTTGTTTCTTCGTTTTTTTGGGTAAATGCGCCTCACACTACGTCGATCCATTTACCTGTACAAACAACCAAAGGAGTGCCACTCTTAAAAAAGCAACAGTCGAAAACAGCGACATGTTGCTCTCCTATAAGGGCAACTCACTGGCATCCACTGGGAGGGATAAAGGAGCCTGAAGTTCAACAACTTGATCAAACAATGAATCAAGTATGGTTCAAAGCCCCTTAACCTCCCACCCTTTTCACATGGAACCTGACGTTCGGGATCCGGTCCCTTTAACAGGAACATGCTCCAATCCCCGAAACGAACGTCGAACGGTTCAAGGTGAAAAGTGTGGGAGGGCTGCTCTTACATGACTTGGTGGTTCCCAGCCATCCGGTTCCTTAGCTTTTCAGATCTGTTTAGTGTTTAGTGTTTGGATTTCAATGTTTCACCCACAAGTTCGTCACTTTTAGCGGGTGATCTGAAAACGGACAACCTCGATTGTTCACAAATATATGCGTCGATGTTGGGACTAAGATCGCCATCACCTGAGGAGCGGGGCTTCAACTCTGAGGGCAGCCTCACGCACTGCTTCGCGCGCCCAGGCGGGCGTTTCGCCTACGGCCAAACTTGGGCCTGCTGCCATGTAAGCTTATTTTAGGCTTTCCGGTGCTCTTAATATTTTGTAGGGGGTTGCAACAACACAACTTCTTTCGCTGCCATCAAGGGTTGGAAAGTCAATGAATGAATTGGAGTTAGGGACACTGTAGACATCATTTTATTCATGTTTTACCCCTTTTGAGGTTTCCTATATGAACAGTAGCCAAATAAGGCCAAACAAGGGCAAACAAAACCCCAGCCTCAAGGGATAGGATCCTTGGCGCTAGTTGGAATGAAAAGGGAGGCAAAGCTTGCAAGTTCCGAGCTCAGCCATTTGAAATCGGAGGCTTCACCTTTTCAATATTATTTCTGGAATGCAGTGGAAGGACAGCCCAGGTGAAGTTACCTCGGAATTCGTTATTTGGTTTGGTGGTTTGGTGGTTTGGGGATTTGAACCGTTGTCGAGGGATAAATGGGACGCGTGAAAGGCGGCGGATGTGGCGTCAAAGGACCTGCTTACTTGGGGTTGGTGGACGAAATTTGACAAATTGGGCAGGGCTCCTTAAAAGATACGTTTTGCCCATTTGAAACATGATTTTTTCCACCATCATAAAGGGAAACCACCATTTACATGGTTTACGCCAGTATTCATCAGGCCCAATCAAAAAACCGCTCCTTAAACCGTCAGTTGGGGCCCCACTGGCTTGGCGGGGCCCGAAATTCGACAGAGTTTCCACCACCTCCAAAACCATCGGGGAATATTGCTTGAACATGTGGCTGCATACTGGCTCCATATGATAGAGTGGCTACACCCGCATGTAATGATGGTGCCTCTTTTGCGGTCGTGGAACCCCTCTTGGGCAAATGCAACCAATTAATCCCTGAGACCAGGTCATGACCAAGCTTAACAGTACACACCGAAGGTTCGATCACAACCAACGTCCGCATGCAAGTCTAAAACTTCGAGCAGTACGTCTGCCTCCCTTTTACATTTTTAAACGGCTACTGTAGACCACACCTAAAGATGGCCTGGAGCCTGGACAGGTTTCACAGACAGTGGGGGGGTTGAGTGGGGGTTTAATCGCCGATTAAACGGCAGCTTATACTAACCCCTTAACCCGTGTCGCTTGGCGCCTTGAACCAAATAACCTTCTTGTTGGCCCTCACGTCTGAAGGTACCAAAAGACCGTTGAACGTGCAGAGAGGCCCCGACTTGACTCGTCGCGCAGGCGACGGGGTGACGGCAGCTTGCCCCATCGAGCGAAGGCATGACATTAGCCGCGGCCTCGAAGTGTGGTGGCCTCTTGGGTGCCCAGGGTCCCAGAGGCTACCTTTGGATGTACCAAAGAGGGCTCAAAAGGGTCAAAAAGGCTTCAGCCTCACAAGGTACTAAGGGACCCACAGGGTTTGTTTTGGTGGGTGATGGTGGGTTATTGTGTTCTTTATTTCTGTTTGAAAGAAGCAGAAAAGGGCAAGTCCTGGCTGTCCGCAGAAGATCCACAGGGCAAGTTGCATACTGGGGGTGTTGGGCTCTGGCGGCGGCCTTTGCTCTCCAGCCAGCAGCTCCCCACTCCCCTGGCTGGCTGGCCCGCAGGCTGTCGCAATTCGCGACTTCACTCTACTCTGGCTGACTGCTGGCTGGCTGGCTGGCTGGCTGGCTGGCTGACTGACTGACTGTCTGACTGACTGACTGTTGGGGCCCCTTTTGTTGTGCTTCCCGCTTTCATGTTGTTTTGTTGTTTATCTTTTGAACAGGAGGCTTTGGGTAGTTTTGTGCGAAGCTAACGGACCTTGAGAGTGACACAACAGTCATATGACCCAGTTTGGCAGTGCAGAGAGGTGCGCACCCGGTCTGGGCAGATAGCGGGTAGGCCTGTCGGTCCTCCTCCATTCCTTTTCCATTCCAGAATCAAGCTGGGTTTTGGGGGGGCTACCCCGGTGCTCCGAGGATACGGCATGTTCCTGCCGCGGCCCGTTTCTTCTTAATTCAGAGTCAAGTTGGGCGTTGGGTTTTTGCTGAGGATGGAATGCTCATTGCGTATCATTGCGTGCTGTGGACCAAATATTGTACCAGTTGGCAGGTTGTTTATAGTATTCCTTGGATATGTTCCGTTCCAACTGGTGCAGGATAATGTCCATCCATGGCAGGAAGGGCTAGTGTCCACACTCATGCCCAGAATGTTTTTGCTGTCTCTTTGCTGCGCGGCGCTGTGTTGGAATGCCCAGCCCGCTCGGCTGATGTAGGCTCAAGGCCCAGTGATTCTATTCACCTGTATAAGGTAAACAAGGGAACCACCCGTTTCAAACCTCAGCAGGAACATGAGGAACATGGCTGGTTACCTGCTATGTCAAGACATTGTTCAGGCATAGGTTTTGGAGATATGGAGATGCACCACTCATATTAAAAGGCTATATGTCGCCTTACAAGCTGCTATTGGTGGTAAGCCTCAATAGCTTCAAGCGCCATGCCTGAGAATGTCCTAGACATGGCTGAAACTGGGATCTGAAAGCACCCATTTGTAGTGCGACATCTAAGCCCAAGAGAATCAAGGGACCCTCAACTGCCCCCCGGATCTCGGCCAAGAGCAAAGAGCGGGGTGTTCGACTGTTCTCAGAACAAAAAGCGCTGAGTCCCCATTTCTCAATGCCAACCAAGTGCTGCTGAAATTGTTTGGTGCTCCCATCCCCCAACATCGCGGGGTCAACCTACCTGTCACTCAAGATCAACCAGCTTGATCCGGGGCTCCCATGACCCAACCTCGCGGGGTCAACCTACCGGAGTTTGGCCTAGGCTTCTGGGTCGTCGACCCGAAGTTCTCGGAGGATCTGCTTCGCCGCAGTTTCCCTGAGGAATTCTGTCCACAGGCCGAGGGATTCGGGGGGCCGGGCGTCTCTTGAGCCTTTAAACAGGGGTCATGATATGGGCCTGGCGTCTTTTGACCCCTTACACTGGGGTCACGACCCCTTCAATATCAACTTTGCATATGGCGAGCTCACTCGTAGTTTGGTTGTATTCCTCCCTCCCGATGTCCCTTTGAAAGTGGGCGCATGCAACATGGCAGACGTCGGCCGCTGATACGTCACTTGTTTTGGCCGGCTCCAAAAGTGAACGATGCCCTCATAAAAGATTGGATGGCGCCTGATGGACGAGTTTGGCAGGGATGGATGTGACTAGTTCGAGACAAACCTGTTGGGCGCATCGAGACATGGGGAAAAGGCTCTAAATTCCCGCAAGCAGGGGCCTCACCACATTTTTCGTCATTCCCTCTTGGCCCTCTTGAGGAAACAAGTCATGTTTGCTTGTGTGACGCTTCGAAACATTGTTTTTCAAGCCTGGCACCGAAATTTATGCCCCCGAGCATTCCGACGCAAGTCCCGAAGTCCCAAGTGACCGCCTCGCTCTAATCTTGCTGGTGTGATAAGTCGAGAATGAGTTGAATTCCCATAGGTCGGATGGTTTTTCTTGGGTCATTCCAACTCATTCCCTGCCTATCGCACCAGCAGGGGGTGTTCCGGGGTTTTCGATTGAGGTGACGCTGCTGGACGAGTACCGCAGCCCGCAGGATGGCCGTGAAGCTCGAACCTACAGGTGCGCGTGTTTGTTCCTGGCTTTCCTTCAGTGCTTGGCCCTTCGCCGCGTTTTTGTTCTAGTCGAGAACAAGGTTTGGATTTCCGCCTTTTTTTTGTTTCAGGCCGATGTTCCAAATGTTCTTCCCCCTGCAGGTTCGTTTTAGTACTCGTTTAGCACTCTGTTAATATCCCACAAAGGTGAATTTACAAAAAAACCGCATCCAAATTGTTTCTTGGATCTAGGGGTTGATTCTAGGGGTTGAAAGTCCTAGAAACCTAGGGTCATATAAGATTTAAGCTATATTCTAAGGTTTAAGTTTGACTACAAACATTCTAGAGGTTGATTCCCATTTCATTTCAAGAACCAGCTGTTTCGCTTGGATTTTGGATGGTTTTCTCAAAGAAGGATCCCTGGAATGAAAAGGGCAGCTACCCCAGAATAGTAGGTAACAAGACCTAGAGGAGAAAGTACCGAAGGGGTTGGATACTATAGTGGCTTGACTAGAGGCATTGGGCGTCATTGAAAAGCAGACGGGCGCCTTTGGTGGTGGTTGCGCCTGTACCTACATCGCGAAAGCATCCTCTGAAATGGGCAACCCCCCCATACTTTTGGGGCAATACCCCATGTTTAAGGGTAGTTTCAGGGGCCAGGTAGCTATTGCCTATGGTGGTTACTAGTAGTTACGTGTGTAGTAGGTCTCTTGATGTTTGGAGACCTGTTTGTGGGAGCCAACTAAAGCAGGGACAGAATCCGAGCCTCGCACGTGTTGCTTATCATTCAAATGATGTTTTGTTCTTTACTTCTGTTGTGTTTCGGTGTTATTTTCTTGCAGGGAATCGATATATATATATATATATGACTACTGGATGTGTCTTTTTCCCCGGGCACTTATTCAAATGGAGAGTGTGAAACAATTGTCCGTCGCTCGCCAGGCTCAGCGTCTCCAGCAGCACCTGCTGCATTACGCAGGCCGCGCGGAAGCCCCCGGAAATCAGTTGTCAGCCGGTGCAATAATCACCAAGTGTACAAAGTACTTGCAGCCAATTACTTAGACTGCAAGTAAAAACCAAACTTGTTAGCACAAATTGGCTAACAGGCTATATGTGGTACATTTGTGTCGTTATGTCTGTCTCACTCATATTGGTTGGGGTATGCGGTGACTTCCTGGCGGTGTGGATTGTTGCGAAATCCCCTCGACCGCTCCGCGAAAGGAAGCCATGCTTGAAGCCACAACGTTCAGTATGTACAGGCGACTTGAATCATTCCAGGGTTCCTTAGGTGAGAAATGGATTTCGTCCATCCACAGCCCAAGACAACGCATTGAGGCCTTCGGGGTAGGCTTCGTATTTAGAGTCTTGGGCGGCTAGGGGCCCATGTTACGCTTCTCTCATACCACATAGATGTGTGTGTGTGTGTGCGTGTTTTTTTTTTTTTTGAATGGTACCCTCCCACCAAAGAATATGGAACGTGAAGTTTCGGACGGTCCTGGTTTGGACGATTGGGACCATTGTCCCTTTAAAGGGACCGCGCCCCTGTCAGGAAACCATTTTCCTTTTTAAAGGGACCGGGTCCGTGTCAGGTTCCATATTACTTGGTGGGAGGGTACCTACAGGGAAACCAGCCGGATCAGCTGGCTCTTCAATACGAGAACGCCGGAAGAGTGGCAACAACACATTTTCTCAGTCATGTCGGTTGCCACCGCGTATGTTCCATGTCCTTGAGGGCCAAATTGATTGAGAGTGATTTGGGTACGATTTTATGGGGACCTTTTAGTGGACATCATCTAGGTCATCCACCTCCAAATTCATAGCCATGTCCAGATGAAGCATCAAGATATTGCGACAGGGTTTGCAGACTGCTGGTGTGTGTAGCAGGAGAGGGCAAGGAGCTTCGAGCAATGTCGCCTTCAATTGGGCGTGTTTCTTTTCTTCTTCCATTTGCTTAAGAATAGTTTTTGTTTTCCCCTGTTGGTTTTAAAGGGAATCTATCACGACTGGAAATATATGTATTCTTTCCAGGGGTCTTAACGAAATGGAAGTCTTTGGAGCCCCCTTGTTGGTTGGTTTTCAAGGGAAACCAACAGCAAACCAACAGGAAAGCCACCATTTTGGGGTGGGGAAGTGGTGGAGGGTCCGATTCCTTACAAAAGACGAGCCACCCAATTAGGGAAATGCCATGGGGCCTTGCAAACTTGGTCCAAACTTGGTGCAAGGAAAGACTACTTGGATGTTCGGCCAGGTTAGCCTGGGTTTTGCGCCACTTTTATTTTGTTTTTAAAGAGTGAACCCCACTTGGGGGGACTTTAAGTGGGTTGTAACCGAATTGTTGCCGCTACAACTCTTTAACTTGGCGAATCGAGCATCCAAGTACCACGTTCACTTTGTTTGCCACCAGGGTTGCAAGACGAGTACAATTGCTCGATCTCCCGCACTGTCGGGGCCAGCGGGGGACTTAAAAGTGTCCATACTGTGGATGGACAAAATCCTGCACCACCTAAGAAACCCTGGAATGATGATTCCATTGTAAATACCAACAAACAATGGTTTCTCGTGATTTCTTAGGTGGTGCAGGATTCCGTCCATCCACAGTATTTTTGACATCCCAACAAAAAGGTGCATGGCGAACACCATGGCAAGCGGCGCCTTGCCCAGTGAAGATCGGTGCCTTCCTGTTTGACACAGACCACAACCGGTGCCATAGTTTTGTTTTATTAGGGTTTTGAGGGTTTGGTCAACTCAAACAATTAGTTAAACTTGAAACATGATATAGGTGGTTTTATACAAGATAGACAATTTTTGGTTGTACTCAAAATTGGTTCAACACAGTGTAGCAGCACCAACTACACAGCGTGTTGTTTCACGCGGGGCCATAGTCCGATTAGGTGCAATGCAACCCCCAGATGCAAGAAACGGGGCTTTCCTTTTTGGAGGGTGCCCTTTGTTGGGCGGCTTTTAAATTAACCGGAACTGAGGGTTCCATATTTTGAAACAAACCCAAATCCTTACAATGGAAGGAAATAGGGTATACACAGGCAAGCAACTAAGTTTCTTTGGACCAAGAGCCAAAAGACAACAATCACATGACCTCACTAAGACCTTGCTAGCGGCAGGTTGTCTTTTTGAGGCTCGGAACCCTTCGGGTGGTTTGAAGCGAAAACTAAAGGAAAACAGCCCTGTTCCAAACAGATGGGCTGTTGGCCAGTCCGGTCACCCCGCGTCGCAGCGGTCAAAGACCCGGATCCCTTTACTTGGGGACAATGGTCATCCACCTGAGGTATGGATCCCTAACCATTACAACTAGGTTTTCCAGTAGTGCCCTTTTACCCTTTTTCTGGGGAGGGTTCCCCTACTAAAACACACTACAGAAAAAAAGGGTACCCTTATTCTAACCTCTCTACTGGAGGACCTAGACAATGATGACGGGAACCATGACCATAGGCCATAGGAGTTGTGAACATGTCTCACGTGCAATTGGGTACCTAGAGGCCAAACTAAATGGATTCATGCCGTGACCCCTTGTGACGAGTGCAAGTTCCCGACGGGACACATGACACATACATTCATATAACCGGGATAGACGTGAAGTGTATTGCCGACTGGCTGACTGATACGCAACGGGCGGCATGCTTGAACATTTGCTTTGTTTATTTGGGGGTTGATGCAACAATCCTTTGCATGGGATTGATCAACCTCTTATTTACAGAACCGGATCCGCTGGTTTTTTTGGGTGGGTAGGGCGACTGGAAGCAAATCTGCGAGAAGTTCCGACAACGACTGTGGCAGGACCGGAGAGGAAAATGGTTGGTGTTCCTTTTCTGGTGGTTTGAAGCTTTCACCGTTTCAGCCAATTTAAAGTGAGATTCCTTTTGTTGGCGGGATGCTTAGAGGGGTAATGTCGGACATATATGGAAGCCTGCTTTGAATGAAAACCGATTGTGGTTGATTTGTTTGCCCATTTAATGGCATTTAGTGGCATTTAATGGCCATTGCTGTGGGTACTATGCACGGTCCGTTATTGTAGGTTTGGATCTAAGAGTTTGCAGATGTGTGTCTTGTTTGCCGGTGTTTGTGTGATTTTGTGATGTGTGTGTATGTGTGTCGGTCCCTTATTTGTGTTGGTGCTCGTCGTCCGGTTGATGTTGCTGTTTGGAGTTGGTGTTGGTTATGTTTGTGCGTGTATGGAACCCAAGAGAGTCGCGTGTCTTGATGGGGTGGTTTTGAGTTTTGAGAGTAGCTTTTGAGTTTCTGCAGCCAAAGGGATAGCCGATACTCACCGATTCTTTTGGGCGACATGCCCATTCCCTGCTGTGACTGTGGATGGGCAAAATCCCGCACCTGCACCATTTGGAATGGAAGAAGCCTTATAAATAGTAGGGCAAGCCACCTTTTTAACTGAAGCGGTTGGGTGATTTTGTAACCATCCGTAGTATCAGCCCCAAAACCATCAAGTCGAAGGGTAGGCACTCTTAGCTCAAGCTTAGGGGGCGCACTTTGTCCCCAACCTCTGAAAGCTATGGGGTCGATAGGCCCAGATAGGCTGTGGGCTGGCTTGGGGCAGGAAGTTTCCAGGGGGTTCCGGCGCTGTGGATGCCACCTGCGCGTGTTGCGCAGCTTCGGTCTCCTGGGTGGCCGAATAGATGGCGATACATGAGAAGCAAACTGAAAGTCGAATCAACAATGCAACCACGACCAAGGGTACAAACTTTGAAGCGCTGATTGAACAACCTTCGACACATTTCCCAAACCCCGGGATCATGAAAGAACACGTTTTTTTTTTTTTTGAAAATTGGTACAGACCGAACCCATAGCCTTGACTGGACACCTGGATCCTCAAAGTACACCTACAAATGGATTATCGCGTCAACGTTGGTACATTTCAATGTTCAAGGGTTCTTTGAGGGCCAAACATAGGTACATTTCAATGTTCAAGGGTTCTTGGAGGGCCAAACATTGGTACATGCCAATGTTCAAGGGTTCCTTGAGGGCCAAATAAACCAGTGGTAAAGCCCCCGTTTGCCGTTTGGCTTCCCCTTGCAATCAGAAAAAAGGCCACACCTGGCGGGCAGTGCAGGACCCATCCGTGGAGCCAAGGAGAGGTCGCGAGGCGGAACAAAGCACCGTGGCAGCGCGTGGCAGCCAGGGACGTGAGATCTGGCCACAAATCGTCGATCAATTAGACTGATTTCGAAGGAAGCAGCAACACGTGAGCTTCTTTGAACCTTTGCAGTGCTGGCTTTTTGGGGATGGTTGGACCTCAAACCCATGTAGGGAAGCAAGGGTTCCGCCCACCTTGGCTGTATCCAACCCGGATTTCTGTCCCCAAGTAGCCAGAAACCTCCCACCCAGGTGCCTCGTGTCCCACAGGAAACCTCCCCAGGATGTCACTCCCCAATGGACTTTGGACTGGCTGACGCAAAAAGTTCGGCGCGAGCCTCGGGGCGGGATCCCAGCCGTGCGTTGTTTTTTTGGCTGGTAGGTTTTAGGGTTTGGTGGGGGTAGCAGTTCCTCTCAAGCCACTGAACGTGACACTGTTAGCAGGGGATATGAGCGCCAAGTTTGTTGGTGGTAAAGGGAAACCAACAAGAAGACCGTTGCTCGCCATTTTGGGGCGTGCGATTCCTAAAAAGACGACTCGCCCATCCGTATTTTGGATCAGGCAGCTCGCCTCGCTTTTGGCTCAGCCGCTTCGAGACGAGGGCGGCAAAGTTTGGCACCGGGCAGCCGTCGGTTCGGAAATGGCCGGTTTTGTTTTTTGGGCGAGACCGCAGGTCCAACTGGATTGCAGCCCTCTTTGGATGGAGCTCAAAAGTGGCAGATTCACGAAGTTCATTTTTTTTGTGGCCTTCATGCTGTTGTAACCCACCATGTTTGGAGGGAAGATACACCCACGCGGCGAATCCTTTTCGGTATATCGTTCTTTTTGCGCATGGGAGACTTAGCCTCACACTGGTCATAACCGGCAGGCTTGGCCTTGCTTTCGACGGCAGATACTTAGCCCTAGCCGGGCTTAGTTGC